TTTTACTATCAACCGATATCAAGAAATACCTGATTATAAAAGGTAGTCCTTTTAGACTAGGGAATATGTTTGCGCCAGAATCTTTTTAGATGTCGCCAGTTGATATTGGTAATAATCAGACAACACTTTTTCTCTGGCAATTCACAAAGATTTGGATGTAATAGCTGATCTGACGGGTGAACAAGATCTCTCGCGTTGGTTTTGTCACGTACACCGTTTCACTTGTACTTTCCATATGAGTTTTTTGTGATATATTTCGAGCATTAGTTATTACTTTATGAAATAAATACCTTCTTAATCAGTGCAAGTGTTACTTATTTGTGTTTTAGAGTTCATTTCTTCCTCAGCATCCGAATTTAAAGCGAACTGAGATATTTGAACTTGAAGCCGCCATCCGACTGGACCGCAGAGCACGTAGAGAACGTCGAATATTTTACTTAATATATTCATTTATATCAAATACTCGGAATAGCTATTGAGTCAAATTCAATTAGCTATTCCGAAGAGGTCTAACTAACCCCCATCCGTAACAATTTCCCTCGTTTTAAATGAAAATTTTACAGGTTTTAATGCAAGATTTGAGTGAATGTGAATTTCAATTGATTATTGTTTTGTGTTTGATATAATGTATGTGGATTATACTCGGGGTGTTTGAAAAATATATTAAGGATAGAATTGAGATTCGCGAGTTTTGGGAAAAATTGGGTTTTATAGTTTTGCGGAAAGATCGCTCGGGCTGGTGTTTTGTTGTTGTTATGGTTATTGATTATGAATTTGATTTTGATCTCATTTGACAGCATGGGGAAATGGGTTTGAGCTGTAAGAGCACCCCAGCGAGGGTTCTGGTGCTCTGGGTGAAACCATTGAAACGTGATACATCACATACAAGCTGATGGCTATCACGCTATCCATTTGGAAGCTTTCGTTGTTTGTTATATGCGTTGCAGTGAAATTTTGTGGATTTCACAATAGGGCCAGTACTATTCATCACATTGTACTACAGCTAATGTGAAGTTTTTGAGCAAATATCCGCTCCCGATGCCTGCTCAAAAACTTCCGCCACAATTAAGCTTCGCGCGACGTTGTGTGTTGTTTGGTTTTTTATTGCTGGTGGTATTTTCCTTACAAAATTATAAGCGGGCGCGATGCTGATGCGCGACGCTTCAGGTCTTCTACTGAGTAGGCAAGGCGCTATGGTCGTCTAGCATCGTTTGGAGCCTAGGAACATCAGGGAAACAAGCATTCCGACGACTCACTTCTTGTTGTTATAATGAGAAGCGCATTTGCTATATACGTAATAATAGTAATAGGAACAGTCAGACTAAGATAAAAGTAAAATTACGTTTATGTTTGCGTTGTGCGTTTAATAGAGATGGGACCGCCGAATTCAAAACAGTCAACAGTTCTCGAATTTTAATATAAAATGGAGAGTATTTTAAATACATATGTTCAATTTGAGTTTTATTGTTTGAGTAATATAATGTCGTTTTTTTATGTTTTGTTAATATTGCTATTGTTAAATTAGATTAAAAAGCTGCTGATATGAATATTATGAGATTGTGTTATGTTTTTTTATTTTAAACTAACTGATCTGGCAAACGTTGTTTTGCTAAGTAAGGTATATTCTAAACAATTTCTAGAGAATCAAAAAAAAAACTCTAAGTGTATAAAGATGTGTTGTTTGAATGCTATATACAATGAGGTATTATAAAAACAATAAACCCCATTAGTGTGTCTATATTTTGTCAATGCAATCAAACTGGAAGTTTTATACACTTTCTATAGAAAACATGGTATAATCCAACCCAAGTCTTTTTTGGCCTTTCGACTTATTGATTACGTTTCAAGTTTTTCAGATTTTTTATGGATTCTGGATTTTGTGTATAATGGTGAATAATACTACAGAGCTCATACAAAATTGTCAAATTTCTGCGAGAAAGGATAGAAAATAAATTAAGTATTTCTTCTATGATCTGCTTTTTAAAAAGCTTTAAGTAACATGCGATGAATTAAAGTAGATTTAATAAAAAGTATATAAGCAAATATAAACTATATTATGAAAACCAATCCAATTATATCATAACAAATAACACATTTTAAACGAACAATTATCTGACTACGTTCAGTAAAACTGCCAGCTACTTCATCATTGTTGAAATGTGCTTTTTTGTTGTCTTTCAAAAATTTGTTACCTAGACCTTTTTACACCATGGACGGGGTAACTGAGAAGGGCCAGGTGGCAAACAGGTTTAATGTCTTATTTCAATTTTAAAGGTATTTTACAAAATAATGCTAAAAAACTACCAATGGAAGAAAATACTTTTATTCTGGATTTACAAAGATCACCGTTTATCTCCCAATAGCAAAGTTATAAGAATCAAGGTTATAGCTTTTTATATCTTTTTTTCTCTACTTTCAAATATTGTTGTTAAACCATGCTTAGCTTCACTGATTTTTGACATATCGGTGACGAACCTTTTTAACCCCGGACCTTCATATATTACTATTTATTCTCCGATAAATTCTGGAAAAATATAACTGGAAAAATGTTATTCGACAAAATATCAATTTGATCATTACCAAATTTAGGTTCTGAATTTTAAATAAAATAAATAAAAAATAATATAACCTAATAAATGTTTTATAAATACCAATGAGAATATAATTTTAAAAGTGAAATCTTTCAGAGCACCGTTTGAGAAAAATATGATTTGCATGAAATTATATTTTGTGCAGTGCGACAACGCCAAAAAATGCATTTTCATATTAACATTTCAAAAAAGTTGATATTTTGAGTTTCTAGTAACACTTCCGGCCCGTTTAATAAAGTTTTTGTGTAAAAAACCTACAAGCAAAACTACTTACTAGAATTGAATCATAATTAAATAATATTCACGTAAAACATTGCATTAAACGTGGTTGAACATCATCTGTCAAAAACGTTTGACATTTGACGTGTTAGCCACCGTCCATTGTTTTATTCAAATTACGCTTTTACAAAAAAAATTCAAATTAAAAATGTAAAGTTTCCACACGATTTTGAAATAATATCTCACCTTTCCGACAACCTACTGATTAGCACAAATTTTTCAAACTAAGACTGGCCAAATCAGTTTAGCCGTTTTCAAGTTTTAGCGGATCATTTTATCGAGAGCTCCATTTTTATATGTAAGATAGATGATAGTGCTAAGTGTAGATAGTTTTATGTTCATTTTCTGAGTTATTTATGTTATTTACCTTTATTATGTTTGATAATTTTAATACTTGTTAAGTTCGAATCTTTTTTTCACTAAATTTAATTAAGTATGATCGATTTTGTTATTATAATTAAATGTAGATTATGTAGGTAATAATGAATGCAATAAGTTTAAGTTTTAAAAGACAGTGGATAAGTAAAGTGAACTAGTGATGTTTTTTTCGTTAGTTATAACACTTTTTAGACAAAAAAGTTAAAACTGTTACTGGGATCTTATTTTCGGTGAAAAACTGTGATGAACGTAGTAACTTTGACAGTGCAGTGAAAAATTAAGCACGTGTACGACTACGTTATCGAAACATCGCGATCTGAATAGTTGATCAGAGGACTGATGATCGACGCCTATGCAGATGCTATGCCGGATTTAGAAAAAGTCTGAGCTTACAGGAGGAGAACAGACCGCAGATCAAACAAGTTGGAATGCGCCACCGACGTTTTATCTGGGGAGCAGGCAGGCATTGGATCGCGCCACCAATGTTACCCGTAGGAAAGAAAACTTGTGCGGCATCAGGGATGGAATTTTAAAAAAAAGAAAGCGATCTTTAGAGGATATGTGGTAGTGTTACGAATGTGTGAGTGAGCACTTACACATATGTATAAATGACATAACTACCCCTCTCCCAACATGCGTATAAAAGCCATGTCCCTGATGAGTATTATGACGAGGGCTGAGAGTGGCTGTCTGCATTAACAGTCTAGAGTCGGTCGTGGTCAGGGTGAGAGTTGTCTGCATGGTTTCAGAGACTGAAAACGTGCGGTCCAGCGCGCGAAAGTGTAAATCGAACATCTTTATAATGTGAGCCTAGAGAACGTCATGGGGGACAGCGTTTAGCAAGCTGTCCCCAAACCGAAAGTAGACTTTGTATATTTAGAGTGAAGTAAATGTGTGTGAAGTAAATCGGGCCCGATGTATGGACATGTAATGGACACTGGTTGCGCCGTGGTTTGTAAATGTATTAAAATAAGAGATTATTATGTGTAAATATAGGTTAGTTAATTAAGTCACGTCAACAAACGCCTTTTCATTAGTAGTAATTTTAACATAGTCCGTTTCTTACAGAATAGCGACTTTAGGGTAAGGTTGTAGAAAGACCGTGAATATATAAACAATAATAACAAATCAGAGTAGAATAAAGGAATAAGTAATAAATGAAAGGAAATTTATTACAATATAATAATTTATAAGTTCATATAAACTACATAAGTTTTAACTCTTTACTTACCTTGATCCATTCCATTTTGAACACTATTAGAACACACAGCTTAATTAAGTGCTAAATTAAACATATAAACAAATATTAGGAAATTGCTTGAAAAGAATGAAATAAGTTTCATGTCTATAAATAACACTTCAATACTAAACGTTAACATTGAGTCATAGATAGAAAACCAAAATAGAGTCATGGCTAACTTATAATTGTGATATCGTACATAGAGTCAAGCATAGATAAAAATTAGAACCGATAACCTATTTTTTTGATGATTCTGTCAAACAGCTGTACAAAACCGCCCATTTTGTACGGTAAACGTATGAAAAGTTGTAACGTAGCTGATACTTGACAAACAAAACCAAAGTATCTATGTCAAGTCGATCAAGGGCGACAACTAAACGTAATATAAACGTTTTAATGACGTAACCATCAACAACTTTTCAAAGTTTATTTTGTGATACGTTATATCGACATCTGTTTACCTTAAATTTAATTTATGGCTGTGGTTTACTGGAAACTTTACAGATACTTACACCTGATCAGGTAGGTTAAGCGTAATTGAGCCTTGTGCATCTTCACCATACTTAATGTAACCGAAAAAACCCATTCCAACATATAAAACTACGATTGATACCATCGAGATGTTTAGGACACCTACGTTACCACCGAATGATTTAGGAGTCTTCATCTCGTTCTCCAAAGGCATTATCTAAAAAACAATATAAAAGCCATTAATAAATCAGCCACAAAGTTATGGTTATGCATCATCTTTCACTTGCCACACCAATAGCCTCCAAAGCAAAAAGCACCGTTCCAAAAAATAGTGGAAAATGTTGAAGTTCGCCTATTGATTCCCTTTTATCTAAAGACAAAGGATCATGGAACACATAATACAAAATAATTCCAAAACTTACGATAGTGATAATGTTGGCTAATGTTGAAAAGGGAGCCAAAAATTTTAAGTTGCGCACCCAGTTGATCAATATCAATGGTAACAAAATTGCCAGCATGTATAATCTAACGTCCGTCTGAGTGCCTAAGTTATAATCGACGACTGCTTTGATGTTGGATGCAACAAAGACCACGTAAACGCAGCATGTTCCCAATTGATAAATCAGGAGAAAAGTGTTAATCACATGACTAGAAAATAATGTAGGGATTTTGTAAATGACAAATATAGTATTGGTGTCATCATAAACATCGTAATATTTTTATGATACTTGTAGGTTACTTACACTGATGCGGACGTAAAAGATTTAAAAATTAGTGGGCCCTCATTGAAGGCGCATTCAGCAGTAGCAGGATACGTCATACTTGGCACCTTCTTCCGTTTGCACAATTCATACTGCGATTTTATCAACATATGTATACAATATGTACATAAAGCTCCAATTAACATGGTTCCAACTATACCAACTGCGTATCCTGCATGATGAAAAGCGTTTGGCATGGCTAATATCCCAGTTCCCAAAGATCCTTTCAGAAGATGAAGCAGAGTTTCTGCATTTCTGTAAAAAATAATGTTTGAAAGATACGAATTGCTAGAGCAGCATTATAAGTAAAATTGCACAAACTTAACGATAAGTACTGATGATTGAATAAGCAAAAATTATGATAAAATGTTCAACTGTATATTCCGAAAATATTTTTTTTTGCTTTTACTAAAAAATTTATATCTTTCAAACAGACATATAATATCTGTAATTGTAATAAATAAATTTAATTTATTTAATAAATTCCATTAAACTTTATGTTTAAAAAGTGCATTTACTTGTAGGCTTTAATGATCAGTAACAAACATAAAATAAAACTTGTTTTAGCCGGTACAGCCTATTAATCCAAAGTATAAAATAACTATATAATTTTTTTATGATTATACCACTTATTGTAGATCTATAAAATTTTAGTAAGATAGTTCAGGTAATAAACTATATTAATATACAAAGTTTTATGAAACGAGTCCTAAAACATTTCTGGCTTGCTTTACCATAATAAAAAACTAATCAAAATAATTCCTAGCTGATTTTTTTTTTTAAAATGGTATTTAAATTTTCAAAATCGGTTGAGATTTTTTTCTAAAACGTTGACGAATACTTTTGTATTATATGTGCTAAGGAATCGTTTAGAAAAAGTAACTCAAGTGAGTCTTTATTGAGTTTCATCAGATAGTTCTTAAATTTTGAAATAAAAGGAACGTCGACGAGGTATCAAAACACATATGCCGTTACGATTACGATTAATGCATTAAATAACCTCTTTTTTATATAAATTATGAATGAGGAATCTTTGGTTTGTGGTACATAAGTCTACTTTGGGAATTTAGCCTTACTAATTATTTCAATATATGGCAATGTATGTAATTATATTTAAAAAATAATAATTATAATATGTCGATTATTATTGATGAAAAAAGCTGAACTTCATAATAAAATACCAATCATTTTATTAGCTGCACGGGTATTCTGCATTTGTAAGTGCCATAGCGTGTTTACCATACGTCTCGCGGTTTATCTGTGGTCAATTAATTTTATAGCCGGTGCGGAGGTCATTTTTGGCATCAGTCTTTTTGCTATATGCCCCCAGTAAACCACAAAACGTAATAAAGCCATCATTGTTACGTAGCTCTGCCACGTCCGCACGTAGCAGGTACGTAACCTGGGAGGCACACGAAAGAATCTATTTCGCGTAGATACGTAGCGTCTGTTACGTTCCACACTAATACGACGCAATTGCATTTTTGCTACCTAACTAGTTTGAATAAAAAAGCGTTTAGATGTTTTTATGTTAAATAATAATTTAATTAAATTTCCTGCAATATGTATATAGTATAAATTTCGGATATTTAGTAATTTTATTGAATAATTTCATTTACAATGTATTAAATTTACATATTATATACCCAGTAAACCACAAAAGTTAAATCCACGTAACTCATTTTGTAACTTTCGTTTGGAAACTGATGTTAAGTAAAAAAACCGATGCTGTTACGTATAGTTGTGACATTTAACCACCGTCGACGCGTTTAAATGTTTATAATACTGCTTTGTTTGTATCTTTCGGTACGTGGCGTGGTACGTTGCACAGTCACATAGATTTGCTTTTGAAAATAGCCGTGAAGTGTTTTATGATCGAAATGTCAAACTAAATATAGGTTAACTCGGTCAGTGCATCGTGGACGCATGATTGAGTATTTTATCGTGTATGTTTGAAATGCAAGATATTTCCTTTATTGAAGCGTTATTTATTAATTGATTTTATATTTAGTGCGAAATCTGTTGTAGAAATTAGTTAGTCAGCTGGAAAAGTATTTAATATGAAACCGGCAAACAAGGTGAGTCTAATTGTACTGAAATATATTTTAATTTATAAATTATTATAATAATGATTAGTCATTTGCAGTATATAGACCGTCTTCAATGCAAAGTCTGTTCATGTGTTGTGATAATTGATTTTTCATGTAATAATTGAAATTTCTAACATACCAATCAGAAACATAACCTCAATTAAGTGATATATTGTGACGATAATCATAATTATCGTCGTATTGATAATTATTGTCGCCTGATGGTCGTCAACCCCAGGGTACACCATCCCTACCCTTTACTATCTATTGGTTCTTGGGGTCCATCAGAGAGACGCTCCGGAGATCCTGGCAATTAAGAAGTAACAGCCATCTAAGACGTATCCCATAGGCGAACGCCTTGGGATACGTTAGTGTTAGTTGTGTGTGTGTTGTGCAACAAGACAGGTCCAGCTTAAAGGTCAGATAATGTAAATTATAAGCTGTAGCTATTCTCCCCTCATATCTCCATATAAGCATATATACCATGATATAAGAATAAGTGGTATTAGTACTGACCGTATGCAAGTACGGTCATGTTCCACAAATACATGCGGAATGTATTATTAATTATTTTAATAGATTTAGTTATAAAAGTAATCTTGGTTTCATTCGTATAGTAGCTACTAACTCCCACAGGTAATTACAGGTACTTTAGCGGGCGATTGGAGTGTTGAAGTAACCCCTTCGTAATGGGGTTGCAAGGCTAGATATAATATTTGGCAGCCATTGCATACCCCAAGAAGGGGGCCTCAAACCCCATTTGTCACAATGATGAAAGCGTATTCGATCCCCAACTTACAATTTTTTTATTTTATATTTATATAATATTTAATAAAAAACCAAGCGAGTAGCTCCCACTGTTTACGTGTTCGGTTGTATTTTAATGTGTTCGTAATTCTTGTAGAAGTTTGTAGAAATAAATCAAATTTTAAACGTCGCGCAATTTCTTTATGTGTGTGTATTTTCGTATGTGTATCGCTACATGTGTTTATCTGTAGCTTTGTGTCCTAAAAGCGCGCGTATCCCAATATTTTGAAATTATAAATCATTTATTTGATTTTAAATAAGGCGTGAGTGTGAAATTTTATTAGTAGTTGTATTTTAATGTATTTGTTAAACTTTATTATATTTTTCACGTTTTTTTTTTGGTGCGTTGTAAATAGTTTTGAATATTCAATAGTATAAAATTTATAAAATAACAAAATCGTAATTTTTTTCTTATCGAATTCAATTTTAATTATTGCTTTATTAAATTAATATTATTTTTTTCTCTCCAATTTTGTTTTACAGTATTACAAATTATTCAATAATTATGTTCGAATAGTAAGCAATAAAAAATAAATAAATGAATAAAAAATTATATTTTCACATAATCGTAGATGTAATTGCAATTTTTTTACTTCATTTTATTCTTTTTATTATAAAAATCGCAATATATCCACAAAAATATTTTTAATTTTATAAAATAATATTCCAATCGTCGAATATATTTTTCGTAATTCTCGTAAGCTCAGATATTTTGCTTTTGCGACACTTCAGCGCACATACGCGTGTACCACGCAAAACACATGGCCATTTTTCGGAGGAATTTAACTTTCAGCCTCTTTTTTTAAGTGATTTTGACCTGACCTGTGCGCGACTCAGCATGGTGGTCAAGTTCAAAATTTCATACTAACCCTCAGTGATTGTTAAACGGTTTGAAAATGTTCGCGCGCATAATGCATTTGTTTGTCATTTTTAATAATATTTTTAGACATAAGTTCGGATATAAGTACAGATAAACACAAATAATTATAGCGGTTTTCATTTATTTTTGATTTAGTTTTCTTTTTATTCGCGGTTGTTAACAAACCCTGTAATTACCAAATTTTTCGATTTTAAAGACGAATGAGGCAAGATTACTTTTCACTTTTTACGCGCTATTATTAAAATAGTTAGGATAATTTAATTAAATTAAGGTCTACCATAACTTTAAAAAAAACGCGTTTCTTATTTTTGATTATTTTTAATTATTAGTTCAGAATATTATGTAGACCAAGAAAGTTGTAGAAAAAATATTAAGTTTTTCGTTACTTATATAGATTAAAGGATTTTCTAAATATGTTAATGTTTACTAGAATGGAATTTATGTTTTTTTATGTTATCGTTAAAATTAAACTCTTATGAGAGTTTAGCTAAAAAATTTGTTAACTTTTTTCAACTAGATTCATAAGATAAGAATTTTTGCTTTTTATTTTATATAGAAAAATTTAATTTAAGTTGAAAATTATTTTATAATAAATTAATCAGTTTAAAAGTTTTTGACAGTTGTCCGAATAAGTCAAGTTTTTTGTCACTTTTGTTAGTCAAGTGTAGGATTAGCAATTTAACAAGTTTTACCAAATTGCTATTATCGTTGGTTTTATTTTTAAGTAATTTTACGGGGGAGAATTAGGATAAAGACTAGCGTGCCTATGTGTAAAAGTGTAAGAATTTTGAGAAACTCACGGGGTGAGATGTTTGTCGCGTACGAAACGCGTGCAGAGAGTCGAAGTTTTTTGAGCCAGGCAGACAGTGCCGAATCGGATTTGTTAGTTTAACAAGGACTTAGTTTGTTTTTCAAATAGTTGAAACATAGGCATGCTATTCATATCTGACCAGCTGGATTGTTGTATAATAAATAGGTATAGAGTAATTGGTTGGTAGTATTAGTATAGTTTTTTTTTCTTACTTCATATTTTATCGTCGTGTATTTTCGTGTTTTTTTAAGATGATGCAATAATGAATTAGTTTTGATAATTTTGATAATGTTTTTCTTTTTTTTTGTAAATATTTTCTTTCTTTTTATTATTACGCGTACTAATGTTGGCCTCAGTTCTGCCGGGTCACCATTGTCTGGTGCTCTATTCGCGGCTTTATCCAGCCGATTCTACTAATAATAGGATTGGGATATGATTTCTTTGCATACCGATTACAACGGCTATCGCGACCAGTCTAGTTATACATCGTATGCGGCACGGTAACGAAAGGACTAGCCAACCTTCGTTTATTAGAGCAGATTGCAGGCACAAAGTGTCTTTTAGAAGTCATATCTCTGCGGGCGCAGGGACACTGGTAAGGCTTTCACTCGGTCTTGCCAAGTACGAACCTGTACCCGACGGTTGGATAAACGCTCTAGTTGTGTGC